GACTTGGAATTGGGAAGGCAGGTTTTGAATCCTGGCTCAGACACTTAATAGTGTGTGACCCCAGGCAAGTCATTTAACTTCCCTCAGGCTCAATTTCCTCATTTGTAAAGTGGGGATTATACTTTGTAGCACTTACCTCACCGGTTTTTAAAAGGATCAAAGTTAGAAATTGAAGACTCCTCTCATTCTGTGGTCACCCCCAAATTATTCACCACTTTTTCTTGAGATTATACCATTAAACAGTTAATCCATAATTAGTCAAGATCTCTATCAGAAAATATACAGATACATATGCAGAGAAAGTAAGAAAGAAAGACACAGTATGCTTCTGTCTATATTCAGACAACATCAGTTCTTTCTCTAAAGGAAGATAGCATTTTTCATCATGAGTCCTTTGGGATTGGCTTGGATCATTGTATTGCATTGTGAATTGCTAAATCATTCACAGTTCTTCTGTGTACAATATTGTTATTAACTGTGTACAATGTTCTCCTGGTTCTGCCCATTCACTTTGTATCAGTTCATGTAAGTCTTTACAAGTTTTTTCTGAAATTATTTTGCTTGTCATTTCTTATAGCACAATAATATTCTGTTACAATCATATACCACAACTTATTCATCCATTCCCCGATTGATGGACATCCCCTCAATTTTAATTCTTTGCCCCAACTAAAAGAGCTGCTATAAATATTTTTGTGCATATAGGTCCTTTTCCTTTGTGTCAAAGTAGGAGCAGTGCCATTGGGGTAGGGGAGGGTGGTGTTAAAGAAACATGGGAAACTCAATTGGGCCACATGCACAGGAGTAGCAGTTAGGTTTTACTCAAGGGATACGGGGAGCCATCTGCTTTTCAAATTTCCTTTGGCATGGAAGGCCAACAAGCCTCTTTAGACATGTAGTCGTATTTGTGGCCTTAGAAAATGTCCAGATAGTTTTCCTGTTTATATAATACGCGACTCATCTAAGATAACTGATGATAGAACCAAGGTGTTTTTGCTTCATTCTTCAAATGTCAACCAAGAATTTTGAATTTGGTGAACAAATCCTTTCTTTGCTTCCTCACTTTTGTATGATGATACTTCAGGATAGCTTTGCAAGACAAGTGAGATTAAATGTACATCAAATAAAATAATATATATAAAGCACTTTGCAAATCTTAAAATTCTATGTATTCATTAGTTAATATTGTTTTTCTTACTAACAAGGTAAGAATCTGTTTACAATAGTGCTAAATCATGAAATAAACATTTTATTCATATGTCAACAAACTTAGATGAAGCAAAGGTGACCCTTAAAGGATTTGTCAATGGACCTGATCAAAATAAGTGGGAAGGAATTTAATACGCCTTATTCTTCTATTACATTTTATTTGATTTTTTATTATAATCTATATTTGGGGAAGAACTATAAGTGAATTGCCAGAAATAAGCAGATGTTGATACTCTGTAATGTTAGTTATGATGTAGGTAAGGGAAATAGCATAAATCATATCTCTTTATTTCATCAAGTCCTTTCATGAAGAAAGCCTCTATAAATAAGATGAAGAAATACGAGGAAGATTCATAGGTGGTTTAATTGTGCCTACAGAGTACAAATTGATAGATTAATGACAATGTGCAGATAGACTAAATATCATAGGGTATTGGCATGGGAATTAGAAGACTTTCATTCTAGCCCATGGTGCCTCCAGTTAGTAGCCATGTAAACTTGGAAAAGTCATACATTCTTTAGACCTTAAGTTATTCAACCATAAAATAAGCTATCTGGACTTTGTGGTCATCTAATCTCTAAAACCCCACTCAGCTATAAAAATCAACAGTTCCATGTTTTCTTACATCATTCCACTGATCTCAGCTTTTGTCTCTGTCCAATTCAACATTTTAATTAATGACTTGGATAGACAGAAGACTTGCATATCAAACTTGCTTTAGAAATGACTGGTAGATGACAAAGTCCAAGTTCAAAAAAATTTCAACAGGCCAGAATGATGGATCCAAACTGCTGGTATTCAATTCAGCAAACATTAGGGCCCTATCAAGCCAGACAGGAAGCTGGACTTGAAATCATGAAGACTCCTCTTTCTGAGTTCAAATCTGGCCTCAGATACTGACTAGCTGTGTGAACCTGGGTAAGTCCTTTACCCCTGTTTGCCTCAGTTTCCTCATCTGTAAAGTAAGCCGGAGAAGGAAATGGCAAACTACTCCAATATCTTTACCAAGAAAACCTCAAAAGGAGTCATAGTCAGACATAACTGAAAAATGACTGAACAACAACAATTATCTAGACACTATATTAAAGATACACAAATAAAAAACTACGCAACCTCTGTCTTCAAGGACCTTACAATTGAATGAAGAGTATATGACATATACCAATAAGTATGATCTGAGACAGAATGAGATAGGGACAGATGAGAGAGCCAGATGAAGCATTGAAAATGAAATGAAATGAAAATTTGAGAAGAGAGAGGTCATTTTATCTGGCTACATATAGAAAAGTTTTATGTAGGAAGTGATACCTAAGTTGAGTCTTATAGGAAGACAAAGATTTCAACAGGCAGAAATTAAAATAGTACCTTCCATGCATAGAATACTCCAAGACTGCAAAGGTAATAGGATGTAACAGGACAAGGTCTTATATCGTCTTGTATCTTTATCAACTGAAGATAGAGTATGTCACTTAGGAAGAGCATAAAATAAAGCTGAAACAGTAGGTCAATGCCAGACTATAAAGGACTTGAACACCTACTTAAAGAGTTTGCATGTCATTCTACAGGCAATAGGGTGTTACTGAAGGCATTTGATCAGGAAAATTACATTTTCAGACTTGTATATTAGTAAGAATATTTTACCATCTGTGTAGAGGATGTACTAAAGAGAAGAGAGACATGATAGAAAAAAGAAGAATCATGAAGTTTTCTCAATAATCTTGACAGAGCTGATGAGGGATTGATCTGGGTTGGTAGTACTATGAATGGAGTGGAAGAGATTCTGGACTATTTATATATAATAGATGCTTAATAGACATTTTTTAAATTTAATTGAGTAGAGTGATGTCTTTCTTCTATACTCTAGGGTTGGTCCAGTGTAGGATCATGAGATCATAAGATCATAGAGTTAAATCTGGAGAACTGTGATATCATCTAGCTTAACTCACTCTTTACAGATGAGGAAACTGAGTTCCAAATAGCCGATGTGACTTGCTCAAGATCACACAGAGAGTGACTGACATGATTCTAACCCAGATCCTCAGACTCTAAAATCTATACTCTTTTCAGTATACTATACTGCCTCTCCTATATGTTGGTTACCATATGAAGTGATAAGCTCTTTAATTATGAAAGGGTTTAAACAGAGACCATATGGTAATTCTAAGGAATACCATAAAGAAGATTGCCTCGTTGTGTGGAAGATTATACTATATGCCCTTCAAAATCTCTCCTTAATTTTGAAATTTTACTGTCTATGATAAAAGATAGAGATAGCTAGAAAAAGGAGGAAATGGGAACTCATAAATCATACTTAATCACAGACTCTCACATTTGGAAGGTACCTCACAGGCCATTTAATCCAACCAGTACTTGGAAAAGAATCCCTTCTATAGCATACGTGACGTACACAAAATATAATCAACATATATGTAATACATATATAATATGCCAGCAAAATATTAGTCAAATAGATATTTTCAGGTCACTTTTGCATGAAGATTATTGTAAATGCATCTTTTTTTAATGTCAATGATTTATAGAAAATTAGGACATTTCATTTTTTCCAAGGAAACATTAAATGAGAATTTAATACCTTTGCAATTATCCTATTAAAATGAAAATATTGCCAACATTTTCATTCCTATAAATTGTATTCATAATGTCTTTAGCCCTCTAGATACAGTATATGCATATCAGTTGTTAGTTCTCTTTTTAATGCTTTTGAAATGTCCACAGCATTATTTTGAATTTCAAAATGTTGAGTGAATGGGCCTTTATAAATATTTTTAATTTAAATGTCATTTTTCTTTTTTCTACAATTTTCACCATCTTTTCTGACTGAAGTTCCTGAATGAAAACCTCTCCAATATATCTCCCATAAAGGTGCTAAACCAGTGATGGGGAACCTGTGGTCTCGAGGCCACATATGGCCCTCTAGGTTTTCAAGTGCAACCCTTTGAATCCAAACTTCACAGAACAACTCTTTCCTGTGACATTTGGATTCAGTCAAAGAGCCACACTTGAGGACCTAGAAGGTCACAGGTTTCCCACCCCTGTGCTAAACTAATTCTCCTAAAGTGTAGATCTGACCAAGTCACTATCCTTCTCATGAAGTTACATATATCCCTATTACCCCTAGGACCAAATATAAACTCTTCTTTGGCATTTAGAGCCCTTCATAATCTGTCTCCAGTCTGTTTTCCAGGTCTGTTGCACTTAAACCCATTTATACACTATAGTCCAGTGAAATTGGCCTTCTTGCTATTCTTCATATGAAACATTCCGTCTCCTATACCTGTTCTTTTACACAAACCACCATCCATGACTGGAATACATTCCTTCCTCACACTTTCCCCTCTGAACCTTCAGCTTCCTTCAAAGCTTAACTCAACTACCTCCTTCATGAGACATTTCCTGATCCCTTCATCCTCCCTCATAAATTACTTTGTATTAATTTGGCATACAATCATATGATAGATATTTTCCCCTGATAGAAAGTAAGCCCTTGAAGGCAAGAGTTGTTTCATTTTTGCTGTTGTTGTTTGTGTATCCCTGGCACCTGGCAATGTGTCTGACAGACACTAAATAAGTGCATGTAGATCATTGATTGCTATAGCTAAGAGAAAGTCATTCTGCCTTTTTTGGTATGCAAAGGTATCAAATTTACAAAGTATTTTTATGTATTTAAAATCCTGCTTCCTCTGTACTTTTAAAAATTTGCATTTTTTCTGAGATCCTATGATCTATTCCTTAAATTTTGTCCTAAAACTGCTTGCATTGCATTTTACAGGTTGGCTATTGGAATGACATGGATAAACTAGTTCTGATTCAAGATGTACCTACACTTGGCAATGACACTGCAGCTGTTGAAAACAGGACGGTTGTTGTAACCACAATCATGGTAAGCTTTTGTCATGTGTTTATTTTTCCTTTCTGTTGGGAGACTAAGAATCTTCCAGGTATGGGTAATGGGGAGGGTGAGAACTGTACCTTAGTGGTTTGTTTTACTTAAAATATTCTCTTCATTCAGAATCTATTTGTCCCCAAGTTTGAGTCAACTCATTTCTTTTATTTGTATTGTCTTTTGTTCTATCATCATTCTATGTAATAATATTGAAAATTTTAAATGGATACAGTAAAACTCTAGGTGAAAATCTATAAAATGCACAGATCCCTAAAAGACAAAACAGCTAAAAAGTCAATAACAAAAATTCAATGCCTTCAGTTTTCTATAGTGCTTTTAAAACATCAATGTGATAAGTTTTTAATACTCAAAATTATTATTTCAGGTATTTTAATCATCTATAAAGATTTGCATTGTCTGATTATAAGATTAGAGAAACCAAATCTGGACATTTTAATGGACATGTTTAATATCAGTGTTTCTTGAAGCCAATTTGCTTAGTTTCATGTTTATTTTTTAATGTTAAAATAGTTGTTTTTTTCTTCACTGGTTATTTTTCTCATTGACCAATCCATACTCACACCATTATTCATTGACTTGCTCTTGGGAATTGAGCAAAATGCAGCTGCTTCATTATGTCACATCATAAAATGAGAAATTCTTTAGATTTCAAAGCTCCTTTCCTCAAAGAGAGTCTTGTGAAATTACCTGTTAAATAATAGACTATCTTACCTTTTTCCTCTCTGAAGTCAAACATGCCCTTTAGAGTGAATGCTTGTCAAAACAGACCAGCAAACAGTGACCTTTACCTGTCTGGTCTTGAAGTTTTACATCTCAGCTTGCTGCACTTTTCACCTGTCTCATTAGACAAGATATATACATATATATTTAATCATTTATGGGAACAATCTACCTTAAATGAGATGGAAACATATTTAGGTAGCTTAGTGTTTTTCAGTAAGGTTGACCTATTTCCTAAACTGATCTTGGAGTGAAATAGGAAAATACTGGAAAATGCTTTAGTGACACTTTCATGGTTTCACTGTGTTGCAGTTCCCTCTGTGTTACATCACCAGTTAGAGATGTAATATGTCATGTCATTGATTTCAAGATTATCTTTCGAGGATGCAAATCAACCAACAGCAATTGTGTTTATGGCATTGTGAGATATGTAACTTCTATCCTAACTGTAATACTTGCATGGACTTTAAAAGCCATATATATATATATATTTATTTCTTTTCCTAAAAAAAAGACCCAGTAATGGAAAAATCATACTTCAGTACAGTCCTCCTCTTTTCAGCCTCTGATGAAGAATCCTATTTTAAGAAATTGATCAAGAAAGAAAGAGTTCCACGATGCTGCGAACATTCCTAACTAAGGCTCAAGTCTTATTCTCCAATATAGTAAACTTAAACTAATTTTTCATGTGGATTATGGTTCTTCACTGGATGACCAGGCCCTCGACTACTAAAAAAAAAAGTTCTGTGACCATGCTGAATTATCTAAAACAGATGAAGAATTGACCTTCATCCTTATCAAGAGAAGAAATGGATGTTGAATGGGAATCATTTAGTTAAAGTTTCTATCATCCCCATGTCTTTAAATGAGGTCACTGTACATTCATTATGTATATATGCCATTCATAACTCCAAGCATAGATAAAACAAGTAAATACATATGAACTTGTGTGATTGTTTCCTGATCAAATACAATCTTTAAAAAAACGCACACATTTTTGAAATTTTGCCTGTTTTGTCTGCAATGAAGCATTTTAATGTGCTTGATAATTATTATATAGAAAATACCTTTTTCATCCCTATTGTTCAAGGGACTAGAGCTATAATTCTAAAAGTCAAGGAGCTAAATGATTTTTGCCCAGCATGTTTAGATTTCCTTGCAGCATGTCACCTGTAAGTAAATAAAAAATAATTTTAAAAATACAAATGTGTTATCTGTATGTGCATATAGTACTACCTATGTATAAATTCTGTTGATTGGCAGTACTAGTTGTTATTATGAACATAGTGCAAGGCCAATGTTTATCTGCATATTATTCATACTGAAATATTCACAAGTTAATCACCAAATAAGCCACAGATAATATTTCATTAATGGACATTTCTGAACCCATAGTATTGGTCTTTGTATTTTGCTTTTGCTGAAAACGCTATCCATGGACTATGGCATCTCCCACCCATAGCCTTCTTCATATTGAAGGAAATATAATTCCATGTAGATGAATGAGATATTGGAGAACCACACGTAATAACCCCTCAAATTCCATTGAAAACCAGCTAAGAAAGATAAAGACAGTTAATTTTTCTTTTTTTAATGAATAAAGCACATATCTAGCCATATGAAAAAGTTAAAGATTGTATCGCATGGCCAATATTTTTTCTGAAATACTGTGTACAGTCTTGCTACTCTTCCTTTTTGCCTTTCCCTTCTGTATCTCATTTGTGTGCTGTACTGCTAGATAATTTTGTTGTTAAATAAAAAATTATTGAGAAATTAGCTGTTGTACCCAAACAAAATGTGGTGTTTAGCTTTTTATATTTGAAAATATCATCTTTGATCAGAGTACAATGTCAGTTTTTATCTGTAATAGGGCCTTCATTTTATTACCTGGCAGGAAGATCTAAGAATGAATGATTGAAAGATCTCAGATAGTCATTTTTTTTTCCTAAAAGTAGTCTTATTCCAAGACTTCCTAAATTTTAAGCCTAAAATATTGTAAAATTGCAACTTTTATATGCCTGTGACCATGGTTGATGTAACACAAAATGACAAAATAACAATTCATATAGACAATCTGAGGCAGTGAGTTTTGATTCTATGCCTGGGGAAGAAAGTGTCATTTGATCATGGAATGTTAGAGCTAGAAAAGAGCTTAGAGTTAATCTAGTCCAACTCTCCACCACTACCACCGCCCGTGGCTAGAATTTTATAAATAAAGAAACTGAAAACCAAAGATATGAACCAATTTGTCTCATAGGTTATAATTAGGAAGGCAGGAATCTGATTTAGTTGAAATCAGGGTGTGGGAGGAACAGGACAGGAAAGACTACTACTAATCTCAAAGTACTCTCCCTGTGCGATAATTTGACCTCTTCAGGGAAAATGAGCTATTACAGCCAGATCCTTCCCTCCACCTCCAGTTTGACTCAATTTAAATCATTTTTGTGGAAAATCAGTACACTAATTCATCATATTCTTTAAATGGAGTAACATGGAGCAAAATGCCATGAAACCAAATTCAGTGGCCTACAATTTTCTAAAATCAAAGTTAGTTCTGAGAATGTTTAAATAATATTGTTCAAAATAGTTTTATCTCATCTACATAATGTATTTTACAATGATCATGGTAGACACAATGCAAATCACGTACATACTAGTGCAGATAATGCTTCTTCTTAAATATCAACTCTTCTAGTATATTAAAGAAACTCCTTTAGCTTTCAAACAAGCCAACCCCAAATGAACCTAGGATTATTCAAAGGTTAAAGTGAGCATACTTTTATCTTTGTATTTTAAAAAAAAAACACCTTAATTTCCAATTCTAAGCATGTTCCCACTGAACATATAGGGTTGCAGTGAAATAAGTTATTTATATCTGTCAGGATGCTTTTCAGGCAGGCAGCAATTTCCATAGCAAATAATCAATGATTTCAAACTGACAACTGATGCAAGTGAATCTTTCATCATTTTAACTGCATTCTAATCATGTCTTAGGCAATTGCAATGATTACTTTGTGTGACATATATGAAATCATTCTGGTAAGGTCCCTATTTCAACAGCTTAATACTTCAATAATTATAATTTCCAGCTTGGCTTTTCCATGGTATATATTTGTAATGTATGTGAATGGAAGAGAGTTTCAACTTTGTAAAGCTGAAGACCAAGCCCACTAGATTAGACTTCATTGCCTCAAACAGACGAGACTCGCCAGGCCTGTGAGTAGCAAAGACTTGCCAGGCAATCTATAGTAAAAGTTATTTCAATCATCAAATTCATAATACCAAAGATCCAATGTCTAATAAAGTACAAAAGGCTAGTAATTCCTTTAAAAATTAACTTCTAAGGAAATATTATGTATGCCAGACTACATATAAAACATCTCTTATAATCAAAGACAAGAAACTTCAATTGTAGGAGGAAAGTAGGAGATAAGTGTATTTCACTATTCAGATCATAGTATTTCACACTCCCCAAGGAAACTACCACTAGGAGACTCAAAAGTTCCCTTCCATACTGCCCCTACATTATGGACTAAATCTCAACAATTCCCACCTTTTAAAAAATGCATTTGGGTATTTTGTCAATTTCTTTGGGCTCATAGGTGCGGAAATTATCACTTTTCCTTAAGAAGGAAACAAGATCAAAAGAATAGTAGGCCTGTGGATATAAGAGAGAACAGAGCAGCTGTAAGAGACTTTTCTCTGTGAGGGTCAGCTTTTCTTCTCACATTCCACTCCCTCTCTCCCAAGTCATTGCTCTATTTTACTCACTCTGACTTGCATTTCACCTTACCCTGACACTCCAAATTCTATTGGTCCCATAGGCTGGCCTGACTCTGCCTAAAATTTTGCAAAATTTTCTATAAGTATTTTTGGGAGATGAATATTTAATACACATGTGTGCATATATACATACTCATTTGTACAAATATTTACTTATATTTGTAGTTCTAAAACAAAATCTTATTGGTCTACATTTAACAAGATAAAGAAAACAAATCTATCTTTGTTGTCCAAAAGGAAGCTGTAAAAATGGAGCCAGACTTTAAGTGATTTTTTTCCTGCTTTCTATATTTCAGTCTGTACAGAAGTAACTAGAATATTTCAGTGTCTCATTCTTTTAAAAGAGCTGTACAGAAAAGTATGTAGTAGAATTAGTGTAGTACAGTGGAATTAGTCATTTGAATTAGTTAATTTGAATCTTAAAAATTTGAATTGGCTAAAAGATAGAAAATTCCATTCATGCGATCATTTCAGTTCCTTTTAAAAAATCACACAGTATCTAGGAGAGTTGTACTCATGTTTTTAAAATGATGACAGTTGTCCCCCAAAATGTGGATACTAAGAGTAAGAGCTGAATATCTTGTCTTTAATCCAGTTTGTGATATCCCCCCCCCACATTTAGAAAAAGGGAAGTTAAATTAGTAGGTAAATAAGAAATTAAATTCAGTGAGGAAAGGAAAATAACTAGGCAAACTAGGCAAAGCCTGCACTGACACAAAATAATTTATTTATATATTTAATTGAATTTTTTTTTCAATTAAGAAGCATTGATTCTCTTCTTCCCATTTCCCTTCAGTGAAAAAAAAAAGAAACTAAAAGAAAAACAAAAGTCCTATCACGAATATTCATAGTCAAGTAAAACAAATCCCCGTAAATAATGCCTTTACAATGAAGGTATGTGCTTATATGAGGTATCATATAATATAATTCATATGCCAAGGATCTGAGGTTTTATTCCTGAGACTAAATATTGAACTTGGGACCTGGATGCTTCCTCTTTTGGAAAAGCTTTATCATAGTACAAAGTTCATTTTAATTACAGCTGATAGCAATAAAACCATTTCAATAAAAATACAAATTACAGATTTGTAGCTCTTGCCTTTCTATACTGCCTCTTACCTCATTTTAATTAAGCTATAAAAGAGTCACTTACAATAATTATTCATGTTATTATGCCATATCTTTAAAGTGAACAACAGCCCCCTAATTCTCATGTCCACATTTATAATTTGTAATGTTCTTCTATTTTTTTATATTTAAAAAAATGTTCTCTATAAGTTAATATATTAATCCTCAAAGCATCTCTGTAAGGGAAATAAATTCAATTGTTCTTACCTATGGAGGAATAAAGAAGGTAATGGACTCTACGTAAAATGAAAGCAGAAGGAGGGATGTCCTGGTTCGCCTGACCACCTAGCATAGGCATATACGAAAATAATACAAAGGCCATTGCCCTGTGTTATGTCACTTAGAGGGCAGTAGGAGCTATTACCTTTAGTAAAATTATATTTTATGTTAATTATTAGGACATTGTCTTCAAATTTTTATATTGTTTGTGTAATGACAAACTAATTGGAAACAAAATAAGAATTTATATGGAATATCTTGTAGCTATCAAATAGGGATGCTTAAAAACATTCAATTCAACAGTCAACAATCGTCAAATTAGGAATTATGTTTTTCTGTTTTTTAATAGACAACTAAATGGAATAACCACAGGTATTACAGAGCAGCCTCAAAATCGTATAGCATAATGTTATGAAACATATATTTACATTAGTGCTTTATATGCTCAAAGATGACCTTGCTTATAGTCATGATCATCATTGTATTGTGAGTTTCCCTGAAAAGGCTGATGGACCAATGTGTCCTCTGCATATTTGATGTTCATAACAAGTCTCCTTTGGCTAGCCATTGTCCCAGATGGAAAATATAGAGTGAGGAATACAGATACAAATAACTGTTTGAAAAGTACAAGGCTATTTGCAAATGTGATTGCCTCTTAGGATTATGATCTGATCAATGTTTTTTCTCCAAATGCTCTTGATTTTCAAGTACTTCTACTAAAGGTATCTATATATGCATATATATACATAATTTCAAATAATACTGACTTGTTCAGAAAACCATCTAGTAGCTCCACTTAACATCATATGAGTCACACTTTATAAAAATTTGACACATTCAAATTTATTTGGAAGCTGAATTAATATTCATAAAGTACTAGTTCTAGGCATAAACAGAGTATCTAACATGACTGAGAAAGTATATTCCATGCAAGTCAGAGCACAGTGCATATAAAATAATTCTAAACCAGAGTCAAAATGTGTAGAATTTGGACTAACTTATGCCTTTGTTTCATTCTACATTTTCAGGCCTTTTCTTATAGAGATCTCAAACTTCACACAGAGCTAGTCTCAAACTTTTTAGGATATATATTTTAAAACTTTAATTCCTTTAATTTAATTTAAAAACTTTAAGTATGTCAGACTTCTTATATTTCCCCAAAATGTCCTAGCATTGTTACTGTGCTGGCCATAAAATAATGACCCATTACTTGTTGATTGATTGAGGAATTAGTTCAAAGCACTTCAAAATTCATTTTCAAGGTGAATAATTAAGATTCTTTTGAGTTTATTTAGTGTGCCTTAGTTTGAGTATTGATTTCTTTTGACATAGGAGACTGTGTATAGATTAATGGATATACACCAATGTGTATAGAGTAATATGAAACATTAACTATTGGTCACACAGCAAAACCCAAAGGTTTACATGCTATTTTTTCAAATTGTATTTCATAAATTTCTCCTTTACAGTTCTACTTCTTTCATTATAGGAATCCCCATATGTTATGTACAAGAAAAACCATGAAATGTTTGAAGGGAATGACAAGTATGAAGGATACTGTGTAGATTTGGCTTCTGAAATTGCAAAACATATTGGTATCAAGTACAAAATTGCCATTGTCCCAGATGGAAAATATGGAGCAAGGGATGCAGATACAAAAATCTGGAATGGGATGGTAGGAGAACTTGTTTATGGGGTAAGCAAATCAACTTATTGATGAATTTCCCTTCTATGAACAGTAAAGATACATAATCATTGCTTTTTTAAAAAATCAACATTGAATGAGTAAACTGTTACAGTGTTCTAGATGTATAGCTTCAAAGAGAGATATAAAATATTTAGACAGTTTATTAATTCCTAAAAGTTTAAGTAATCAACACTCTGACATCTTGAGGATGAAAAAATGGCAGTGATACAAGCTCATAGTCAAATGACTAAAAATATACTGTCCACTAAAAAGGGAATGGTGCATAGCTATTTAATTTCATACTGGTTTATTACCTTTAGAAACTTTTGAGAGCTACAGAGCTAACTTGAGCAACTTGCCCTAGTCAACATTTACTTTCTGATGCTGCAATTGGTCTAGAATCATAGGATTTAGAGCTGGAAGGGCCCTTAGAAACGATCTAGCCCAACTATTTCCTTCTATAGAAGAAGAAACTGCCTTAGAGCAATAAAGTTGCTTCATACATAGGTCCTAGAGACTGCAAGTAGCAGGGCTAGGATTTAACTTTAGGCCTAGTGCCTCTCTACTTTCATTTTTGGCTTCATGTTCTGACTGACAGTCACTCATTGAGCAAGTCACAAAATAAAAGTTGTTTGGAGCTAGTCATTTACATCCAAAAATCATGTACTGATTAAATACCCTTGTTAAAGTTATTTAAACCATAACTGCACAATGAATCCTTTAACATAGATTTTTTTTTCCAAACTGTAGATATTTTTGTCATAACAAAACAAGATGTTTACAATGTTGTTGGGCCTATTAAATATTGAAGATGCATGATGAAATTCCTTCTTTATTTTACTTGACAACAAAGCTGCCCAAAGCAAGGTTTGAATATGTTTTGGTTTCACATGAAACAGTATAATGCACCTCCTGCAACAAAAGATAAGTGTATGGACAAATTTGCAGCTCAAAGCAGATAAAACATTCATTCATGCCTGACTTACAAGATCAATCATCCCTTCAGCTCCTATCACAATCTCAAGCTGGTTGCTAAAAGTAGACATCAGGCACTCAGCCGTTGTGACATCCTGCATCCTATTTCTTCCAACCAGAAATCCAACTTACAGCTAAGGAAAAGTTTTCTCCCAGTGAGGAACACAATAACAGGAACATACAATCATATGGTGATTCAGAAATGCCCTAAAGCATCCAAGCATGCTACATTAAGATTGTTTCATGCTTTTCATCCTGCAAAGCACAGAGCATACTCTATCTGATTCATCTTCACAAGGCCCTGTGAAATCAATAATTACACAGGGTATACCTCTTCCCTTTCCTTGGAAATAACATAGATAGAAAAGATTGAAGACATAACCCAAGTTCCCAAAGGGAACCACATCTCAAGCCCGAATTTCCATTTGGTACTTGCATAGCTCAGTATTCTGCTTTTCAGACCATGAAACTGACTTTTTTCTACACAGTAATATAGTAACTAAGACCTCAACATAAAGAGTAAATTGAATGACATTATACAGCAATCCATTAGATTTTTATCTTCACATGAAAGAGGTGCTGACTACATAACTAGCCTTAAATGGGAAAAGAGATGCAATATAGAGAGCAAATAACATTGGACCACAGCTTGCATGGGCAGTTTTGTCAAATGAGCATTACTACATTGAGAAAGAGTATTTCTAAAGCATTTGTTTCACAGTAATATTTGGAACTTATGGGACAGGAATACAGCAAGCAAAATTAGACTCACGTTGAGGATCTACCTTGCAGGAATAGTAGGCGCTCATTGCACTTAGAAAGAGCTACTGTGTGAATCAACTTCTAGCACTATATGAGCATCTCCCAGGGTCAAATTAATAGTATATGTAAGCATTTATAAGGTATGTTAGGTCTTTGCATACATCAAGTCATTTATGATCAATCCACAGTTATCTGGATCATCCAAAATGGTTCTAAGGCTGCTGGCAGTATGAGCAACACTTTTCAGGGTGAATGAAAGAATGTCTAGATGCATGCATATGTGTGTGTGTGCATGTGTGTTTGTGCATGTGTGTGTGTGTGTGTGTGTGTGTGTGAGAGAGAGAGAGAGAGAGAGAGAGAGAGAGAGAGAGAGAGAGAGAAAGAGTCAGACAGAAACATAGAGACTGAGTGACAGAGACAGAGAGACTATCCTGTGGGCCTTCTAATACTAAATATACGGGCATGTGCACATACATATATACATAAATATTTGAAAGATTGTTGTTCTGTATTTACCATGTCTTGCAGCACCTCTCTTTTTCTTTGTTAGTATGGATGATTTAGAATTGTCAGTATTGTTTTACCATCTTATTTTGGTACGTATTTCAATAAGTAGAAGCTATGAAGTCATTTGAATAAAAACTTAATATTTCCCAGATTTTCATGGTTGCGTTGTGTTGATAGATATTTGCCATGACTGATCTTTTACACAGGAAAAAAATGTTCTATTTGCTTTCCTAACATCTCTGTATCTTGGCTGGAAAAGGGGGTGGGGGTAAAAGATGCATGCTTTTAATTTAGATTTATTAGGAATCAGGCAATGGAAGGAAGGTATCAGTGACAGCTTCTGAAATAGTGGCAAGATCTAGCATTGCTGGGGGCAACACTTCCAATCACCTACTCTTTTCATCACCTTAATTACAAATGAAATAATCACAAGTCATATTCTCATTTTTTTGTCTATCTCCCCCACCCAGCTATTACCACCAAAAACATACTTTTGGGGATCTAAATGGTCACATCTATATCATGTATATGAAACCAAATCATTTTGCTCAAACCTGACCATACAGATGACAGCCAGGTGCGTTCATGGAATGTTAACATATATGCCTATATGTGTTTCTTCTCTTTTAGAAAGCAGAGATTGCTATCGCCCCACTAACAATCACTTTGGTCCGAGAAGAGGTTATTGACTTTTCAAAGCCTTTCATGAGTTTGGGCATATCCATTATGATTAAAAAGCCTCAGAAATCTAAACCAGGAGTCTTTTCCTTCTTGGATCCTTTGGCCTATGAGATCTGGATGTGCATAGTTTTTGCCTACATTGGTGTCAGCGTGGTCCTATTCCTAGTTAGTAGATTTAGTCCATATGAGTGGCACACAGAAGAGCCAGAGGATGGAAAAGAAGGACCAAGTGATCAGCCTCCAAATGAGTTTGGCATTTTTAACAGCCTCTGGTTTTCCCTGGGTGCCTTTATGCAGCAAGGATGTGACATTTCTCCAAGGTCAGTTTTAAAATTCTGAACATTTCCTTTAGTATCTATTCCCCAATAATTCCAAGGTTTTTGAGGTTCACCAGCCCACCTAGATCCAGAACTAAGGACAAGCAAGGTAAGTATCTATTTAGAACTTAGCTGCAGGGAGCACAGGGAAGGGGAACCAAGAGCATTTTTTAACATTAGTGTTTATAAATATGTATTTTTGAATGCCAGAAATTTGCTATGTCTATGGCAGACAGGTATTTTTCTTGTGATAAGTTGTATGACTACAGTAATCTACTACATAGGTGGCACAATGTTTAAACCTTGCCTAGGGTACATTAATGGCTTGTCCTAGCTCTAGATCTATATGCTCTTTTTCTAAGATAAAACATTTTTGAAAATAACAAAAACTTTCATTACATAAACTATATTGAGCATAATCCTAACTAGTTTATTTCTTGTTTGCATAAAATGTGAATAAATCACAAAGATTAATGTTCCCTGTAGATCAGTGACTTATGCCAACCCTCGCCACTGTCAAAACCATTTAGTATTAATGTTTAGTTCAGTGATTTGACAGATGGAAAAATAAAATCTAAATTGTAATTACATGAACTCATTTTCAGTTCCCTTCTCATGATTTGAATAAACATTTTAATAAGCTGATAGGTAGCAACTGTTAAGTTTGATTCTCCTGCCAATGCAACTTAAGGGAGATGTCTGTGATGAAGTTCCACAGAATCTGGATCTCTGTAAGAGGCATACACTCTAAGACTTTACGTGTTAAGTTCTATAATCAAAATAAATACTATTTTGAGACCAATCTACTCCAACATTATGTTGAAGTGATTACTGGCATTCTAGGATTTATGCATATGTTTTCAGAATTACCTTAGCGCATATATATATATATGTGTGTGTGTGTGTGTGTGTGTGTGTGTGTGTGTGTGTGTGTGTATTACATATATAATTTTGCTGTTAATTTTGCTGAAAAAAGAAAGGTCAACCTCCAATAGCAAACAGAAGTAACCAAATTGTAATCCACTTCCTCCATAAAGTATATGGATTAAAATGTCATGGTGGAGGGAGGGGGGATGATTGTGTATATAATAACTTTAAGCTGTTAAATGTAAAACAGCACTAAGATTTTGTGGACATCTCACATATTCAAAAGGCAACTTGGCATAGTACATATATTCTTGAAATTGGAGAAAGACCTGGTTTCATATACTATCTCAAATTTAATTAGTTATATAATCAACTGTAGGGAAGCCGTATAACTTTCCTGAGACTCAAGCAGCTCTCTAAGACTTATCAACTAAGTCTGTTTAAGTAAAGTTCCCACAGCAATGAAATAATAAACCATTTCCATACTGTGACATGCACATAAACACACATAGATATACCTTGAGCTCAATATATAACTTCTTGCACATATATCAGTGAGGACCTCCTGAAATTACTTTCTGTTGTCTAAATAAGCAACCAGAAACAAGACAGGTAACTATTGTATGCACCTGTATTGAGAGAACATAACCAAGATTACAACTGAGACTTAGAAAAATGTTTAAAGTGTGAGGAAAGAGCTATGTAAAATTATTATGGTATAATAGTTAGAGTACCTGACTTGAAATTAGGAAGACATAAATTTATATCCTCAGGCATTTACTAGTTGTGTGACCCAGGGCAAATCACTTAACCTCTCTCTCAGTCTCAGTTTCCTCATCTATAAAATACAGATAATGATAGTACCTACCTCCCAAGATTGTTGTGAAGATCAAATAAAATAATTTGTTATACTACCTTTAATGCTAGCCATAGAAATTATAGAATTAACATAGGGATTCCTCAATCCAACAAAAGCAGAAAGTTTCAAGACCAATTTAGGCAGTATAGGTGTACTAATGAGATCATCAGTGCATCCTGACTTTTCTCATTTAGATCATTTTTCCATCCTCTTAAGCCAATACCAAGCAAGAGGAGTAGTGAGTAGTGAGAAGATATATAAGGCAATGTAAAAATGTACTATAGTTAGTCCAGAAAGGAAATGTAGTCTGGAGTGCTATATCCAAGGGCTAAGATTATTTTGGAATGAACATAATCATTCACCACAGTGCCAACTCTACTAAATACGCCCAACATATGCCACTCCATCTCAGTGAAGCTATGACAAGAAAGGAGAATGCAATCCATCTTTTCTCCAGTGCTATTAGGATCTCACTAGCACTTTTCTATGCATTAATGATAAAATCCAGCACAAAGTTAGTCTTTATCCATTTCTATTTATTGAGCAATAAAGAGGAGATTTTCACATTTTCAACATCAATTATAAATATAGCAGAAGGATCCACAAATAGTGCATAAATCATTAAAAGAAATCCTGCCAAAATATATAAAATTAGGCAAATTGATTAAAGTTGCTTCTTTAACAAGCACATTAAAAAAACAGTGTTTTTCTCTTTTCCAATCTTAGAGGAAAATGTTCATTACCTTATTCATGTTTAGATCCCTCTCAGGTCGAATTGTTGGAGGTGTTTGGTGGTTCTTTACGCTCATCATCATCTCATCTTACACGGCAAACCTTGCTGCATTCTTGACAGTTGAGCGAATGGTCTCCCCAATAGAAAGTGCAGAAGACCTTGCCAAACAAACTGAAATTGCATATGGAACATTGGACTCTGGGTCAACAAAAGAATTCTTCAGAGTAAGTCAACAGAAGTACCACAAAATATTCTGCACTTTGAAACAAATGTTACTTTATAAGTAATTATGGTGCAATCTGTAGTGCTCGGTTAAGGCCTATGACTACTTCATGGAGTTTAAACCATCTCTAATCTTTGAAACAATTACTGATCTTTACTTGAGAAAAGTACTTTTCCCCCAAGGGACTGGAAAAGCAAGAGCTGATTGGAAAAACTCTGCATTAGTAATTGATCTAATGCTTCGATAATAATAGCAAGCATCGACAATGCTATGGTAATAGTGAAGATGGCTATATTGCTCTTACTTAGTGCAGCTTTGTGATAAGGGATAAGAATTAGAATAAGAAGAGGGAAATGCAGGCATTACGCAGCTTATGAAATCTAATTATAGCTCATTGCCTTTTCAGACCAAAACTTTAACTGCAAACTTTATTTCCCATGTGGATTATATTGTTCCATGATAATAGTTTAAACCCATAATTCACTTCTTTTCAGAAAATAAAAGCAGAAAATGTTTAAATTCTAGAAGCACCTATCAGAACGTGTTTAATCTTCACTTTGCATTTTCTTAACATTAGAAGTGGAAGTTAGCTGCATCGATATATTGTGTTGTTCTTCGTGTGACTTATGATTTATGTCCCAGCTGGGCACGTATTTTTAGGGGTCCGTTCCATCATAGAGTTTGATTTTCTGGACCCTCACCAGTGGTATAAACACTTTAACAGAACTTTCTAGGATTTGTGATACATTTTGTATCTATATTTTCAAGTATGTTTAATCAGCTATGACTGAAGACATTTTGCATTATTTGCTTAAGAAACATGGAAGGTTGCATGAATATTTGAATGTATCTTATTTCCTGACTTTTCACATAAAAGAACAGTAATCCTTAAAGTAAGTCCATAATTACATGCTAAATAAATTTAAATGGAATTTGAAATTTTTACTTTTATGTATCTTTTACCTTTTAAATTTAAATTTTACTTTCCATTTTAAGGTATAGGACATTAAATACAGCCAAAATGGTTAAGCTATCAACTTTCAAAGAAAAATATACATATGTTTAGATGCAGTCTAGAAAATATTTGTTTTTCAAAAGATTTTAATATCTCTTTAATGATATCATCCAAATCAATAGTTAATTCAGTAAACTTGGTCAAACCAGATATCCAGCTTTCTATACACAAAAGAACAGTTGATTGAATCATACATTTTTCATTATTCTGTTTCATTATTCTGTTTCATTTCACCTAAAACCTTTCTATTCATAAGATTTTTTTTAGAATTTCCTCCCATACCACAAATTTGATCATTATATATTACATTAAATAGCTATTAAATTCTGCTATTGAAGTTAGGCATAGCAACCTAAATTTTTGACTTAACTAATAGTCTTCATAGTAACAATGCTTTATTAGCATTAGGTATAAGTACAAGTTTAGCACAGTTTCAGCTCTGTGGAAGGCATGAATTTTGTCAAATCACAGGTTTTTCTTCAAGAACGTAGATAGGGAAGTGAGATAGAGTCATCTTACTCAGAAATGGTTCTGAAGATGCATGAAAGCAAAGAGGGAGTGGGGGATGGGGAATCGTGATCTTTTTATTTGTAAGTAAGCTACTAGTTAATTTTTTTTTGCATTCTCCACAAAATGATAAAGAAAATAAATTTCAAATTTGATTGACAAAGAAAGAAGTCCAAGAAAATGTTACTGTAAACTTTGGAATGATCAGACAAAATGGGAAATTTTATTTTATTTTATCTTGTTCCTGTCTGGAAGAAGTAAAAGTAAATCAGTTTCACAGTTCACAGGAGCTATTGCTGAAAGTAAATATGAATTAATGGACATATATACATACATATATATATATATATATACATATACACACATACGTATATATATGTGTATATATATACATATATATATATATAGTATGTATATATGTGTATATATATATATGATGGATAGGGCCATTCATTGCCTGGATTTGCAGAACATATATAATTTTTTTTCTCTGACCAGATTTTAGTTGGAAAGCTCCTTAGTGAACACAGATACGTATAAAAATTCCAGGCTCTGAAACATCTAAACTACATCTCATCAGAAAATAAAAAGCATGGATTTTACATAATGGCTCTCTCTCTCTCTCTTTCTCTCTTTCTCTCTCTCTCTCTCTCTCTCACTCTCACTCTACGGAGTGGCACTGCTTTCAATGAGCCATTTGTCAGATTGATTGAGGAGACTGAAGTGTATTTTTCTTTTCATCACAGATATTTTCTCATAAGAACATAGTAATATTGCATTTATTTACTCTACTATTCTGCCCCTGGCAATGACCTACACCCAACACTTTAGCGATTCCTCACTCCTTATCAATATTAGGCGAGGGTGATAAATTGCTTCTGAATCCACCAATGAGTTTTGTCCCTAACATGAGACTTGTGTGTATTATACTATTTTTATCCTTGTTAGCAGAATAAAGAGGCACTTGACAATGGTTCATACTCATCAGAAAAAAAAAAGTGATACTTTTAACAGTTACAGTGCTTATACATCATTATTCTTACAGTGCTTGAATAAATTGAACTTTTAGATATAGTTGACTTATCATAGTTTAGATTTGAAGAAGTTACCAGTGAAATGACAGAGGGTAGATTAGTATCTAGTCACTGCTCAGAATGTTATTTTAAGATTCTTATGTGTGGGAGGCCTTAGTAGAACTCATGTCCTTCTATACAGCCTACTGGAAGAAGAAAACACATTTCAAGGTATTCATGAGATGATTAATCAATCAGTAAACTTTTATTAAGTGACTACTATATTTCAGACACTATTGAAGCCAGTGGAATTAAGAATTTTGTATGTAATCAGAATCATAGATGTATAGATGAAAGGGATCTTTAAGGTCTGCTAGTGTGCTAATCATTCTTCTGTAGGATCCATTCCTGAATCTCTAAACTTTCTCTTTCAAGACACGGAAAGCTCCTCACCCTGGAAATTACCTATACCTCTGGACTTTTCCCACTGGAAGTACTCTCTGCCCTTGAGGCCCCTTCTTATTATCTGATTCTTCCCAGATACACTATTTGAAAGAAAATGCCCAGGCTAGCTATGTCTTCATTCCTCTCCAAGCTCCATTCTATTTTGAATTATTTGCTTAAGAAACATCTTACTCCTCCACCTCCTTTTCAGCTCCCTTTTTGTTGTCTTTCTTCATTAGAAAGTATGCTCCTTGAAGGCAAAAACTATCTTTTTTCTTGTGTTTGTATCCTGCTGAGCCCAGTGCTTGGTACGTAATAAATACTTGTTGACTTGGCCTCTAATCCGACTCCTTCCGATTTATTTGATATTTTCTAGTAAGAACATGACTTACAAATGACATACTTCTCACAATCATAAAAGAGATAGTAAAGTGGTTAAAACTTCAATACATTCCTTTAAAATAACAAGATCCATAGTACCAGAATACAAAGATAATTTTCCACACCTTGGTCTTTTAATTTGATAGATACGATAAATAAAATCTAGGCTTGAATCTCCTCAAATTTGTTTAATTGCTTTCTGATTCTAAGAAATATTGACTGTGGCATCTGTCACTGTGTATGAATGTCACCAGCATAAAAGTCTTTTTTTGTACTTTGAAATTTTGACAGATATACCATCTCATTGATGTGGATACTTTCTGCAGCAAGGCAGATTATGATCCTTCCCTACCTGCCTATTTTGTGTGACTCTTGCCCTAGTTTTATAAATGCTTGACAGGAGTTCACCCAACATAAGAGGACTCTTGACTTTGCATCCATACCAATAAAGCTTGAAGACTATGCCTAAGTTATCCCTGGATATTTGCACCTTCTTTTCTGGCAGTATCTATTACCCTCCTTCTTTTGCATAATTCTTTCTTAGTGATGGGGTACAGCCTACACACATCCATAATGCTACTTTTTGGTACTCTTTGGATGACTTTCTAATTCTTCAGAGACTGGAGGATTACATGATTCGTAATGATACAGCATCAGGAGAAGGCTATTGGTTTGGGGGGGTTGTTTTTATTTCTTTAAGATCACCTTTTGTTTTAAGGAGAAGCTTAGGTCATTAAATACCTTCTGAATAGTTGGAGAATTTAAGGGTCAAATGCAAGCAGTTTGCTTATATTGCCAGGAATCTTGCATCCATAGTAATATAAACTTAATTGGAGTTTTGTTTTGTTTTGTTTTTTAATCAATCAGTAGACATCTATTAAGTATTTACTCTGTGCTAGACACTTTTCTAGGTTCAAGAGTTCTGGAATATACAAGAATGTAGATTTTCAGGGTAACTAGGTGGCGCAGTGGATAGACTACCGGCCCTGGAGTCAGGAGGACCTGAGTGCAAATGTGGCCTCAGACAGATAACACTTGCTAGCTATGTGACTCTGGACAAGTCACTTAACCCCAATTGCCTTACCAAAAAATATATAGAGAGATTTTCCCTGCTACTTTTTAAGGAAATTAAGTTTTTATTATCATATAGAGCTTTATTACTTACAACTCTTCTTTAATAGAAATCAAAAATATAAATATCAGAGAGTTATTTTCAATTGCTCAAAATACAGACATAGCTATATAATGCAACCACTAATATTTGCTTGTCCTATCTCCCCTCCTTCAGCATCAGGAACTGTTTGTATAGTCCCCCTTGAGTGTCATACTCACAATACTGTGATGCTTCAGACAGACCCTGCAGGCACGGATCTTAGAGGTACAAAAGCCTCAATACTTGAGCAGTTTCTAAGTTTGTGGTGTCTCTGCTGAAATGCCTCATCATTTTTTTTTCTACCTCCATTCAGCATCATTTTTTAATCTGATGCTTATTATGCTAACATATCAGATAGCAACCTTCTTGCAGTTCTGGATGAAGCCCAGAGAAAACTGCAGTGCTTCCCTTCTGACCTCTGGTTCTCAATCTCACTTCCTTTCAAGTTAGAATGAAGATGAAGAAAAGCAGTGCATTATCTCCTACCTATCTGGACTGGTAGAAACTTGGTCCAACCCTGTTGATCTGAATCTGAGCAGCTCCACTTGCTAGTGATGGTACCTTCAACAAAATGTTTATACTTTCCTTTCTCTTCAAGGGGAAATTCAGATTTCATAACCTAGTCTTCACTTGCCATTTTTTTTTAGCCAATTTTCACTAGCCCATTTCCACAGACTGGGTTCCTTTAGCCATTAAACCTTTATCTTGTTTTAAAGGAGCTGAATCCCTTCTTGCATTTGTGTACATAATATACATTTTAAGCAAATGTTACAACGTACTCTTCTCCACCTTGAAATTCTAGAAATCAGGGTATTTTAAAATGTATAAAAGTGGCATATAAGTGAATAGTTTTCTCTTTAAAAGAATAGTTTCCCTTTTTTTCAGTAGTGTATTATATTCTTTGGTTGCCTGTAGTTAAATGTTATTCCTTAATGAGTCATCTCAAAAGTCTATTCAATTTCAATCTTCCTTCAGGTCTCGATTCAGCTAAGACACATACCTTAGCAGACTATTTTAAGTGCTTGGAAAATGGCCTAATACTTGGCACAGATCTATGATTTAATGCTGTTTTCCCCTTTAAAAAGTTCAGTGAGTTCCTTTAAAATGCATAAGTCTATTCAAAATAATTCCCAAACAAATTCTTTTTCACCTGTAGACTTGATTAGCTCTGTGATTCTGTTAAAAAAAAAATCTTTTCTGGCCACATTGAGGGCAGATATAAATGAATGGGTTAGAAAGGAGTGACGATACAAAAATACAAAATGCCTGCTACCTAGCAGGCAAAATTATTCTGGGGTTGGGAGTGAGGTTCATCGGCAGCATGTTTCATAGCCTAGGGATGGAAAGGACAGTGAGGGAGGGGTGCCAAATATCAGAGATTTATCATTTCAGAATTATTATCTACACTGGTACTATTAATAGAACATCAAAGAAGGCAAACGTTGGAATCCTTATCATCATAGTGAACCTGTCACCTTCATAAAGCTTTCCCCTCAAACTCCAAATCTAGCTAGTTGCAATTAGGGGAGCAAAATATCATCTTGTTGACACACTCACTCACTTTGTCTTAGCATACTTCATATGCTGGGTATAGATTATACTCTGTCGTCCCAGAAGACAGAAGAGAGTGGAAAGGTTCGGCAGGATAAGCTTGTTCATCTTTGTGGGAGCTACATCGAAAAATTAGGAAAATCAAGGACCGAAATGGAAGCTTCCTGTTGGACTACTCTCCTCTGAATTATCAGATTTTCTAAGGGCCCCTCGGGCATACTCTAGCTAGCAATCAATCAGCAGCAATTTAATAAGTCCTGCCATGTTCCAAACACTTTACTCGCTGTAGAGAATATGCAAATAAAAGAGAAACAGGCCCTGTCCTCAAAGACCTTATGTTCTTTGAAGACTGACTCCTTACACATACGTAGGTAGATATAAAGCCCATACAACCTGAAAGGGTTTGATTTTCCCAGGCGGTTGAACTGAATATCATCCAAGCTAGAATATCCTCCTAAACTAGAGAAATGGAGGGACCCTGGCTAATGGCAGAGACAAAAGCTCCTCTTTCAACTGAGTGTTTAGTTTGAAGGATTTTATACTTCTATCCTACCATGAGAACTCTGAGGGGAGGATTGCGTGCCTTTCTTTATCTGTGCAGATTATAATATCTACCACTGATTGGTCATATCCCACACTTTCCTTGTGTCTTGAGACATTTTCCAAATACCAACTAAGGAGTAGATATTTACAAGACACGGTGAGTTTTCAAGGAGCCGTAGTCATATTAGTTATCTGCACTTGGAGTCCCAAACCTGAGCCTCTTTCCATGGACAATTGTATTCTGATTGTTATTATTGCTAGCTTGCACTTGTGACATTTTAGAGTTCATAAGAACAAGAAAGGTCATAAAATTCACGTTGTAGTTAGAGCCTAATAATCTAAATCCCAATGATTGTGTGATTTAACTTCAAAGATTACTTTGATCCCAAAAGTATACCTCTTTGTCTCAATTATTTACAATGTCTGTAGGTCCTTTAAGAAATCCTTTCTTTTAGACCACATCCAATTCAGCAAATATTAAACACTTACCATGTAAAAAGTTCTAGAGAGGCCACCAACAAATGCAGCTAACTAATGTTAGGAAAGAAAGTATATTTAGATAGCCTTTGGCCTTATGAGTGAGTTTAAATCTCAGTGAGGTTTCACCACAATTTCAGATGTAAATAGATCCAAAATGTCGTAGGTTATTATTGAAAGAGTGCTGTGAAGCCAAAAATAAATCTGCTTGTCCCCATGTATTATCAAACAAGATTCAAGGTTTTCTAATATTAGAAAATTTGCATGCAGATGAAATATCAGATGTTTAATTCAGATACCAGGAAATAATTTAGATGATTTAAGTAATTTTAGTGGATGAAATGATATCCCAAATGAGCTTCCCTATGAAAATTCACAAAAGCAAACCTGTTTCTTAGCTGAAGTAAATAAGCTTGGAACTGCTTGCTGTCATAAAATGGGAATTTGGTGAAATAAAGATCATTTCTGTATATTGTCTAGAAATCTTGATTTTGTTTTTGCCCCTATCTGAAACAAAATTTCTGCTCATCATTTTTTTCTTGTGAATGGATTTATGGTTTGCAGGTTACCATTAATGTCTCCTGTTTTGTGTCTCTATGATTATTCTATGAATTTACCCTTTTGTAGATATTACTAACGTAAATAATCATCATCAGAACTTTGAGACAAAAAAGTTCATTATCATTTCCACTAGTAAATCACTTTGGTATTAAAAGACATTTTTAGAAAGTTTAAAGCAAGTAATTTATTATGTATTTGAATTTTAATGTAATTTGGTTACAAAAATATAATACAAGTTGGCCAATAATATTCAGAATCTACATTTAGAATATCATGTTCCTTTTTTAAGTAGTAGAGAGTAGTAATTAGTATGACGTGGTGCTATGAATATATTGAGCTCTTGTGTCAAATATTACTTTAAACTCACAACAGCATGAATTTCTACAGTACAGTAGAAAGCATACTGGCCCTAATGTCAGAGGATACAGGTTCTGTGAACTCAAATAAGTCACTTCTTTTCCTTGGGCCTTTATTTTTTCACCTCTAAAATGACAGTATTGAACTAGATGAATTTTAAGGTACCTTTCAGCCCTTAATCTTTGGTCCTATGATCCCCACCCTACTGAGTGACAGAACACAGTTATTGTTTGTTGTTGTTCAGTCATTTCAGTCAAGTCCTGCTCTTTGTGACCCCGTTGGAGTTTTCCTGGCCAAGATACTGAAATGGTTCACCATTTCCTTTTCCAGCTCATTTTACAGATGAGGAAACTGAGGCAAATGGGGTTAAGTGACTTGCCCAGGGTCACACAGCTAGTAAGTGTCTGAGGCCAGATTAGAACTCATGAAGATGAGTCTTCCTGACTCCAGACCGAGCACTCTATCCACTGTGCCACCTAGCATGATACCATATCTCAATCATTTCCATTAAACATCCTTTTTAAATAGATTACTAATTTTAAACTACACAGGAAAGTTCCTAGAATTGGAGAAGAATATTATTTAGCAAATGGGAGTCAGAGGAGACAATGAAAGACAATGACAGAATATATTTTAATCACTAAGTCACTGTTAATATTTTATTCCTTCCAACATTAAGTTTTGTTTTGATTTCCTCCAGAGATCAAAAATAGCCGTCTATGAAAAGATGTGGACCTACATGAAATCAGCTGAGCCTTCAGTGTTCACTAGAACTACAGCTGAGGGAGTAGCGCGTGTCCGCAAGTCCAAGGGAAAATTTGCCTTCCTCCTGGAGTCTACTATGAATGAATACATTGAACAACGAAAGCCATGTGACACCATGAAAGTTGGAGGAAATCTGGATTCGAAAGGCTATGGAGTAGCAACGCCTAAGGGTTCCTCATTAAGGTGGGTGGAATAGTATAACAATATAACATGTGTTGTTATAGTATTCCACCTTCCCTGATGTCCCTGATAGAATTTTTTGTTTTGTTTTGTGTGAACATGGTATGTTATTTTTTTTTTCTTTTCCTCCATTTCATATTTTTGCTCAACAAACAGGTAACTGTTTTTAACTTTAGAATGACTAACTTTAGAATTTGATGTATACTTTTTAAGGCCATATAAAAATCAACCTGGTTTTACACTAGCTGCTTCTAGTTGGCCTAAAACTCAGGTAAAATGTATTTTTATATTTCATTGACATGTGTAGGCACAACATTTAGTACTATCACTGTTATAGCAACAATTTTTACTTTTTTTAAAATTGGCGGTTAATGATCCGTGGCTGTTAGTTTCTGATTCAGAAGTTGCTTGTTAAAGCACTAAAAAACCAACCTCTCTTACATATGAACCAGTGTTCCATTTCAGTGTTTTGTTACATTTGTGGTATTTTCTTATTTTAGTTTTACCTAAGGTTGTTTCAGAGAGTAAGCACATGAATTTATAAAAATAGGTGAACTCTAAGTAGTTGGAAGGAAAATAGGCTCTGATTCCGTAGGTCTTACTCCAGTCACACTCCCACAGATTTTGATGGGAGTATGATATAAGTAAGATCACTAGAATCCAGCCTTATGATTATTCCCAAATACATTCCTAAATATACCAAATCTCAAAATATTTAAGTTTTGATCTCAAAGATGTGATCTATAAGTATGGCTTTGTTGCATAATAATCCACAATTGGAAGTAAGAATTTCATTCTTGAGCAAAACTATTAAAATCTGTTCTTTCTATCCTTTCCATCTTGGACATTGAAATTCACATCATGGTAAAGGAGGCAGATTTCTTCACCTTCTCTAAGCACTGATGGCTGCTGAGGAGCTGTGGAGATCATCACATTTGCATCAGATTTAAGATAGAAACAGAACTGGAAATAAGGAATTAACTGTACCATTCAGTCTCCATCTGAATGTTGGTACTTCATTTGCCAGTATTGCATGAATCTAGCAGATTCAGAGCAAAAACCAAGAGAATATCAATGTTTTTAATAATAAAACTAAAAAGAAAATAAATTAGTGTTACTAGTCAGACACTGGGATGGTGCCATTGCCTAATCTGAAAGGAAAACACCATTGGAATTATATCATCCTTTTCAATATACTGGATGAAAAAAATACTATTATCAGAAAGGACTTCATGCTATTAGAAACTTTTTCATTCCTATTTTGTTCCAGAGTTAATTCATTGTCTGTAGGGAATGACCTATATGGAAACTTCCTCCACCAATGCAGGTCAGCAACTTTCCTGTATCTTGTACTCTGAGAAAGTTGCCTGGAGCATTGAAAGGTTAAGTGACTTGCTCATGGTTATACAGCTAGAATGTTATAGAGACAGGACTTGGATACAGGTATTCCTTACTCCAGGACTCTCCCTACTACTACTTCTCACTGCTAGGAATAACTTCCTTAATTAATAACTTTAAAAATTTACATTGTATGAAGAGATATTTCTAGTACAGCATGGTATGATACACTTTAAAAAAGAGGAAATAGAACAAAACCACCAGTTGTGAGGGAATAATAAAACATGTGGTCATAGCCTTTGGCAACTCCTTAGCTCTGACTCAATTTATGAGAAATTATAGCGGAATTAGAAGTGTTCCAGAAAATAATCTATTGCAGAATTCAACCCAAATAGAAGGAACCACCAATATTTCAAACATTCAGAAAATTATATACACCTACTAAGTATGATTATTTTCTCTAAATGAGCAGTCCTAACTTGGGAGTGATTTCTTTTGTAGTACACGTACCTAAAGTTGGAGATGGCATTCAATGGCATCTGGTACCAGGTGGAGAATAGTTGCAAGAGTAGAAGGGTAAAGAAGAAAGGAAAGAAGAGAGGGAGGGAAGGAGGGAAGAAAGGAGGAAGAAAGGAAGAGATTGAAGAAGGAAGGAAGGAAGGAAGGAAGGAAGGAAGGAAGGAAGGAAGGAAGGAAGGAAGGAAGGAAGGAAGGAAGAGGGAGGGAGGGAGAGAGGGAGGAAGAGAGGGAGGGAGGGAGAGAGGGAGGGAGGGAGAGAGAAAGAGAGGGAGGGAGGAAAGGAAAGAAAGAAAGAAGGGAAGAGGTAAAGATAAAGACTATGTTGATGGTGAGATTTTCCATGTATAGAGTGCTTTACAATTTAAAAAGCACTTGCACATATATTATCTCACTGATACATGGATTAATTTCTTTTTTTAATGAACATTAATTGCCTTATTCTTTCTATTTCTACTGATGAAAGTCAAACTCCAAGGACTGAATTTGGCCCTCAGATGTGGTTGCGCCTGACTCCCATTAATGACAACCAAATTTGGTCTTAAATGTGCCACTTTGTCAAATCTCACACTACAGGGATTGTTTCAGGGAAAAGCTGAAGAGCTTCTTCTGTGTAGAGCTGTATAATAATGAGCCAGCGGGTTCCCCCTCTTTCCTGTCCTTCTTTTGGCCTTGTTAATGCGGTAATTGTTAGGCACAGCTTCCTGGAGGCAGAATTTGTTTATGTGCTTTGTTTTATATACACTACACAATTTCCTGAGCAAGCTGGACTTTGCATACCAAAACTTCAGTCATCTCATCATGCCTTTTAGAATCTCACAAGGGCTATAGAGGCCAAGTAGCTTTCACCTGCCCCTGTTGCTCCTGGGGCATGAATTCATATTCTGTTGAGATTCTACTTTAATTAAAAAGAAAAATAATAATGATCTAAGGGCAGGATAAATAATCATTTTGTACATAGATAGATGGTAAAGCTTTCAGACACTGATGAGCTACTTAAGGTTCCTGGTGGCAGCTCCTGAAGGGTCATCCTGCAGCGAGGATGCCAGAATGAATTAGGACCATTCTTCCCTTGCTAGTCCAGCTGAGACCAAGCCTGTTGCCCTGTGGTGCGAAGCTTTTTAACTACAGCTTTGTTTGCCCAGTATCATTCATTTTTTTAGTGAACTCTCTGTTAGTTTTTTCCATTGTCTATAGGTCCAAGTGTTAGACATGCCTTTAGAAATGCAAACAAAGATTGCTTTCTCAAACACTCCTGCTGCTTTGATTCATTGAGCAGCAAAGTGACTCCCTCCACTTCCTCCTCCACCCCCCAAGCCCAAAGAGTATTCTTTCCATCTATGTAGGCTTATCCAGAAAGCAAAAAGAGATGACTGGCAAGTAGCAACTTGCCTCTAATGTTCTGTGAGGTGTTAAAATCTCTAAACTTCTCTGTTAGTGGAAAATGAACCAGAATAAATGTCACATAGAGGGGGAGGAAAAGAATACAGAATAAAATTGAAAAGTCAATACAGTACAGCTTTCAGTGATGACTAGTCTCTACCTTTATGGTTTGGACAAGTAAAGACGATAGTATGTATGCAATTCAATATAAGTATGTGCATTGTGCTTGCATATGAAAGTATTGAAGATACTGAGAGATTGCTACTTCTTTGCATTTTTGCCAGTTTTGCAAGAGACCAGTGGGCATTACCCAATGGCTACTGGCAATAAAATCATAGAACTAGAGCTAGCAGGGTCTTTGAACTCATCTAATTAAATACTTTCAGATGAGGAAACTGATACTCTAAGAAGTTAAAAGACTTACTATAGGTCACATAGGTGGAAACTGATAGAATAAGGGTTTGAACTCAGCTCCTCTGAATCCAAATCCAGTGTTCTTTCAAATGCACTTCAATCAGTTATCAAGCATTCACTATGTTTCAGGCATTGTGCTCAGTTCTAAGGATCTAAAGATCTAAAGAAAAAAAATAGTCCCAGCCCTCAAAAATATTACATTCTAGTAGGAAAGAGAAGATGTATGTGCCTAGAAACATATAAGATACATGTAGAAAAGATGGAATGTGATCTTCAAGGAGAAAGCACCAGTAGCTGGAAGCATTAGGAAAGGTCTTCTGAAGAAGGTAGGATTGTTACTGAGTCTTGAACTAAACTAGGAATTTGCAGAGGTGTGGGGAGAAGGGTGAGTGTTCCAAGTACAGGGAGCAGCAATGCAAAGGCAAAGAAACAGGAGGAGGAGCATCATGTATGAGAGACAGGGGACAATCTGTGTAGTATGTGAAGAGAGTAGTGGCAGGGCTTGGATTGTGACATGGCAGAAGCAGATTGCCAGGCATGTTGAAGTTATTAAAGTTAGCATTTGTGAAAACTAAGCTTGCAAAGAGGAAAGTCTAGAAGAATGTGTACACTGAAACTAAATGTTAGGAGGTTAAGATAAACTGTGAGAGAGAAAGGCCAGAGGCAGCAAGATTTTTCCCCCAAGGTTATCTTCTACAGAAACACATAAGCCTTCTGCCCTTGCCTCAGGAGTATAGGGGTTTGGAGGGAGTAAATCAGACTTTCTTTTAAACTGTGTTAAGAGACTGTCTTGACTTTAGAATATCTCATGAGCCTATTTTACATGTGAGCAATCCTGGCTTCTCTGAAACAGAAACCTCTGACTCGTCCTTTATTTAATGTGACTGATCATCCAAAATCAATTATTAGTCAGATGATAAGCATTAATACTGTGCAGCATTATTTAAAAACTTTCAGTTTTTTAAGTGTTTTTTTAAATTGTCAGTAAAAGCATGTCCATAGCAGGTAAAGAAAATCAGAAAAATGAAGAATAGAATGTATTTCTAATTTAATGCCACTTAAGAAATGGGGAGTCTCTTATAAGCTATCATATTTTGGGTAAGAATTGTCTCATTTTTATTTTCATAAGTATTATTACCTGCTATACTAAAATATCTCTCATAAGGAAATTCACAGTATCCTGAAGTCCGTACATAACTGCAAAAAAGAAAAGAGTCGCGCTTGGAATTTTTCCTTGGTCTAGGGGAAATTTCCAGACTTGACTCACAACCAACTACTTGCACTTAATCTTTTGCATTTGAGGCCAAGTGCATTATTCCAGCTGTCAGATGCATCATCCATCGTCTTCTCCA